AAATGGCTACGCGTGTCAGCACTGACACGCATGTCATAGGTTCGCCATCACTGGCCTAGAGTTTGATCCTGACTGGGCTCAAGGTTGACTCAACCTTCCCTTCTTCCAGGGTCGGAGAAATGAGGACCCAGATTGTTGGGGAGCAATATGCTGACATTGTAAACCATCCGGAGAGTGCTATGGAGTGGTATATAAGTCTAAGTGCTATTGGTATTGGTATATACTATTCTGTCTCAAGGAGTCTCATGACATGAAAGCTCCTACAGCAATTGTCACATACCTGGGCCAAGAAACCCAGCATGCCAAGCCAGCTGGAGATGACTCATTTGTGTATTCTCTAGCACTCTAAACAAGGCAGGCAGGAGTATCCAGCCCAGGTACCAGCCTGCTTCTGTGCTCCTAAGAGAGCTGGCAAACATCCTCTCTGCCTCTTATCCCATTGAGGTGGAAGAAAACAGAATTATCCAGGGTTAACTTTTATAATAAGAATGATTCTACTTCTCCCCCCCCCCCTTAAATAAAGGAACCATCTCTCCCAGTTAAGCCGGATATTTGACAAGTGTGCGTTTATATACACATTTGGGGATATAGCACTTATTGGTATTATATGGAGTACTGGATATAATGCAGTTCAATATGTAAAATACGTGTAGTTGGTTCTTGCTTGGTAACACTGATTCGTTAGCTTTTGGTTTGGCACAATGTATGCATAACACTTCAATAATTTAATAGTCCTTTAATTATTAATTTAATAACTTAATAAAATAGCAATCTTGTGATTTCAATAAATACATCAGCTCAGTTCTACAGTAACATGCCAGTATTGCCTCTTCTCAAAGTCAGTGTCTAAGCTGTAGCAGAATAATGTAACACACCAAAAATTGAGATGAGGTATAATCTAACTGGAGGTAGCCTCAGCAGATATACCTGCATGCAGTTCAATTACAGAAATCTGATAACCGATTAGGCCTTTTACTTGAATCACAAAGTCTTTACATAAAAATAGTCATTTAATAACCTTAGAAAATCACCAACGCAACAATAGTGTGCCGAAGTATTTGCACTTATTTTAAAGGCAATTGCTGGGTGACAGAGGTGTCTTCCTTCAAAACCCTCATCAGACAACTATAAGAATAAACTCTGGGTTTCCCAAAGAAATGGAAGTGTGTCTTTTCTCCCGAGCATGAGTCCCTCTGCATGCATCAACATGTCATCACAAGGATGACACTGAACTGATGTTACCTCTTCAGATGGCAATGAAAGCAAATTTAATATATTCATAAGAAAAGCACATTTGTTGTCAATGCAGTATTCATATCATGATCAAGAGAAAAACCATGCCAGCTTTTTTATGCTGCAAGGCAAAACTGTATTAGAAGCAAAGAGACTGCAGAAAACCATTTCTAGAAAGATTTTTTGCTTGCAATCGATAGAAGAAGAGGGGGGGAACTGTTTGCAGATGCCTTTGCGTATTATTGCAAAAAGATGAAGCCCAATTTTCAGCCACTTCTGCTTTTCATAGATGATGGGACAACAGCCGCCAGAATTCTGAACCAGTTGGCTGACTGTAATGTAGCCTATAGTCTCTCAAATATTAAAGTAATCAGATATTGATCAGGCATTAATTGTTTATAGACTAATTCTGCAGGTTGTGTTTTTCTTGTTGACATGTATTATATATCATGAAAGTGGGAATTGAATACCTCATTGTGGATTGACTTCTTCTCACAATGCAATCCTTTCCAGCCATCGTAGCATTGACATGTGAATTCTTGGGCCATCTTGATTTGATCTTTCACTGACATCTGGCCAATCAAAATAAAGCCAGGGGTGACATTATGCTTCCTAATAGTGAAACTGGCAGAATTGAGATGCAGGAAGGCTTCTGGGTGATTCTCCCGCCGCACACAGCGGCCATTCTTTGAGCAGAGTATTCTACTACAAAGCTTAGAACTACTGGTCACATTCATAATGTATGGGCCAAGGAGCGTGTCCACATACTTCTTCACTTCAAGGCAGGCTTCCTGTAAGGTACAAAAAAACAGGCCCAGAAAAAAATGAGTTTAAAAAAAATTGTCTGCAATGATCATATTACTTCAGAACACATTTCCCACAAGAGTTCCATCCATGACTATTTCCCCTTAACTTGAGATATATATATTGAATAATGTGTGTGGGGGGGAGGGAGTTAGAGGGACTGATCCCAGAAGCATCTCTCCATGAAGTAGACAAGGTCCTGACCATTCTTTGGTTTCCACACCATCCTGCTCAAGTAACCACAAATCAGAAGGATACCTTAGTTGATTGTATCAAATGCTGCTGAGAAGTCCAGCAGAACCAAAGGTACATATTGAAATGTGTTTGAATATTGAATATCAAACCAACATATGGAATATTGACTCTCAAACCAACAGCCTCGAGGTACATATTTGTTCATCAAAGACCTGACAAAAGTCATCTACTGGATGGTCATCTACTTTGTTTATCCCGTAACTAAATATATTACACATCCACAATGTACGGATTGAAAAAGAAAAGTTGGAAAGGCCTTCGCCCAAATAATATATCTTACCAGAATCTGAACCTTTGAAATTCCCCTACCTAGCCTCATATGGTCCTCTGACCAGCTCTGACTTCTTTGCCACACTCACCCGAGATCTACTGAAATTTGAACTACCCCACAAGATAACTCCAGCAGCACCTTGAGAAGCACTCTCACCAATGGTGTGGACCAGGTCTTCCTGCAAAACAAATATATTAAGGTAATTTCAAACACAACATGTTTAGGATCTGAATGTTAGCACCCCTTCTCTGGCACAATAGACACTATCTAAAAGGACTGCATTGGCTCTACACTAACAGGACAACTTATGTGTTATTGATGGAAAATTAAATATTATGGACTTAGGCTTCAAGTCTACTTTTCCCACCCTAAGGGATGGGAGGACAAAAAGTCCATGATTCTTATTCCCATGTAATGTTTTCCAGCGAATTCCCACTGAACAAGGCTTATCAAATCTTGCACTGGGCCAGACATGAAAATTGCTTACCTGTGTGAGGAAGTTATGAGTAAACTCATACACAATGGTAGTATAAGGTAAGACAGGGATGTCATTCTGTGTCCACTTCGCAACCCTGAAGGCCTCCTGGATTCGATGACGAGCAAATTCAAGAGTTTTGTGAGTCAGTCTGAGAATTTGGGGGAGGTAAATGCTGGGATAGAGAGCCCGGCTTTGTTTCCAGAGCCAGTACAATTTGTTGTTCCTCTGTTTCTCAATCTCGGGACATTCTCCAGTATAATTGGCGTATTGGTACTGATTGTTATAGCAATTGGGGAAACCGTAAAAGCCCCAGAAGCCCTTCGGTCTCAGGGTTTCACTACGGGCCAACGTCTGTCTCATAAACGCCCAAGCAGATTGTTGAAATTCTAACTGGGCTGCTTTGACAACTTTGTCAGCAGGCCAATCAGGATGCTGCTCTTTAACTAACTGTATGGATTTATATTGATAAATTTTCATAGAACCCCAGTTCCGAATCCACAAGGGACGCCAGTGTTCCCAGTCCACCACTGCCAGACCTCTGAAGCCAACATCCAAAATGGTATTATCAATGTCTTGTTCAATCTTCTGGAGATGAGCCTTTAGGCTAGCATTTTGAGGGAGACCGCCATAGATGGCAACACCATCCTTAGTGTAATATGGATAGTATCCAAATTTATTACTATAGAAGAGAGTAATGTCTTTCCCTATAAATGAATCATTTGGATTGACGATTATATCAATAATTCTCAAGTCAAGCGATATTCCATATTTTTCTTGGCATATTTGAGTTGGTGCATTCCAGACTGAGATGAATGGGTGGCCCAAAATAGCTGGGGATCCTTCAGTCATGTTATGGTTCCAAACCATTAGAAATACATTTAGTAAGCAGAACCACAAAGTCAAGTATTCCATGCGCATCTCCATTTTGCAACCTATTTTCCAGCTAAATGCTCAAATCTTTTCTGATTTTCAATGGCTTCAGGCAGAATTGTGTAAAAGAATGACTGTAGTTCTTCCTGGTAAACGGAGAAAATAATTTCACCAACAAGAGGATTAGATAACTGTCAGAGGAAACAATACAGAATAAACCATAAATTCCTACCTACCCTTTCATTTTCTATCTACCATTCAAGGTTCATCCAGAGCATAATCAAATGGCAAAGAAACAGAAGTCCTTCTGGGAACCTTGATGTTGCTGGGATTCAATGTTAATTTTTTAATCTTTGCTTTTCCAGTGACCTTGGTTAACAGCTCAGATACAGGTAGTCCTTGACGTACAACCAAAATTGAGCCCAAAAGTTCTGTTGTGAGACATTTATTAAGTGAAATTTGCCCCATTTTATGACCTTTCTTGCCATGCAGTTAAGTGAATCTGGCTTCCCCATCGACTTTGCTTGTGGGAAGGTCACAAAAGGGGTCACATGACCTTGAGATACAGCAACGGTCATAAATATGAGTCAGTTGCCAATATTTGAATTTTCATCAGATGACCATGAGGATGCTTCAAAGGTCATAATGGCCATAAGTTGCATTTTTCAGTGCTGTTGTAACTTTGAACAGTCACTAAATGAACTATTGTTAAGTCAAGGCTTACCTGTACTGCTTACTATTCCTAAAATAATGAATAATATCCCTCTTTGCTTTTAGGTTCTCTCCCAAACAAAACTTCATTAATGACTTTCTGGAGGCAGTCACTTCTCATCTTGTGAAAAGTGCACCAATAGGAAAAGGTCATAATAGGGAGGTGTCAGTTGAAAGAAATGGTTAAATCAGCTGAATATACATCAAAAGCTATCTCCTATGGAGAAAATAGGAAAGAGCTAAAATAGAAGTGTAGAACAGGGGAAGGATTAGATTATTTCAATTACTATTTTGTTACAGCATGATTTATAACTGGCTGGGAACTATTAGCATTGTGGTACAAAATAATTGGAGGACATCAAATTGAAGAAAATGCAGCAAATGTTCCAAGAATATATCTGGCACACCTTGCCAAATCTTACAATATCTCCTTAAATATATTTCTATTTTCATACTGGGAGAGGAGACTTGTTTCGCATTATCTCCTATGTTTGTGGCCCAACTCAAATTTGAATAAATCACACCCACTTTCATAATTCAAACTTTTAAAGCCATTTTGCTAAATCAGCAGAACCAATGCCCAAAACATAAGATGGGATGGAATATCAAGCTGAATCCAGTTACAAGAATTGCATAAAATAGATCCCAGCTGCTGCCTTTTAATTAACCCAAATTTCCACATCTCCTTACAAACTTATACCACTAAAGTTTTGCCAGACCAAAATCTTTACATAACCCTTAGCTAAGCCTGATGTTCCTAAGTGATCAATTAATCAGACCTACAATTTCTCAATTCCCTATTGTTCCTTAGGCTTAATAGTCACAATTTAGTTATGCAGTAACTTTGAAATGCTATAAATTTGATTCTGCCAGCATATGTACCGTATTTTCACGACCAAAAGCCGCACCGGATTATAAGCCGCAGTATCAATTAA